TTTTTTTTTTTTTTTTTTGAGACAGGATCTCATTTTGTAATTCAGGCCGGCCTGGAACTATGTAGTGCAGGCTGGGCTTGAACTCAAAGTGACCCTCCATCCTCAGCCCCTGGAGCACTGTCACTACACTGGCTCATTACTGAATCTTTTTTTGACAGATTGGGATTCTTTAGTATCTCATGGTTATTACTCTAAGAACCAAGTCATATGTCAAGCATGAAAAGAAAGTAAGTTAATATAATACACCACAGAACTGTCACGTGGAAGTTTTTACAAACTCTTGCTTTCTTAAAACTACAGGGCAAAATGTTTACAGTGATCCATTAGCCAAGTGACAATTTAAAATTTTGCTGAATTCAAACAAAGCTAAAAAGGCCACCAAAACTTTACAACCTAAAATGGTTACTATTTAGTTTGTTGCCATAAATAAAATTCTTCCTATAAACTTAATGAAAGGACAGCAATACTACATATAACATCAAAATCATATTAAAAAGTACATGAGAGACAAGTTGATTTGTTCTTTTGAAAGTTAATTTAAGGGGCTGGAGAGATGGCTCAGTGGTCTGAAGCACCTACTTGGAACAAGCTTGGCAAAGCATCAGGGACCGCGGTTCAATCCCCCAGCACCACATGCCAGCCAGCCCCGCCCCCTGGTGGGCTGAGCTGGCCACACACCTCTCTCTCTCTCTCTCTCTCTCTCTCTCAAAAAAAAAAAAAAAAAAAAAAAATTTAAAAAAAAAAAAAAAAATAAATAAAATAAATTTAAAAAAAAAAAAAAAAGAAAGTTAATTTAATAAAAATCTAGAAGTGTGAAACAGAACTTACTTCCTTAGGGAATCTATAATATCCAGAGAAAAGTGCTCATCCCAGCCGCAGTCCAATAAAAATCTAAACTCATCAACCTGGAGAAGATAGCACAGAGCAGACTCCTCTTGGACCCCAGACAGGGTAGTTAATTTGATAATAGATGTCATCTTTTTGGTCCAGTAATAGTAATCTAAAAGGTTCTTTCAAAAGAAAAACATAATTAAGCAAAAAAGCAGTCTTGCACCTGTAACAAACTAATTAACTAAAATTATCTCACACTTTTAAGCACTCAGAAATCCCATAAACATGGAACGCAAACATTAAAGACTCACTGCCATCACCACCAAGTTTATAAATACAAGCACATTCCTATGCCTTTATTTACAGTTGTTCAGGGTCTCCTTAGGGTGTTTTAATGCAAAATAGTGGACCTTTGAATAGGAGATATCCAGCTTAGAATCTATTCCTGTGTGATTTGGAGCCAATCAATTAACCTTTTCTCACCTGTGTATCCCCACTGTATAGTGTTAATATACATGTAAAAGGGTGCAGAAGGATTTCAAATGTCATGCGGGTCTACGGAAGCCAGAGAGGACCCCACCCAAGTCCCACGGCTCTTAAATGTTTCTTCAGTGAGTGAACTCATGCCTCCCGATGCGCTTACTCCTCCTCCATCTTGCTCTGCGAGGGCACTGATCACATGGCACTATGATGACTGTGTCACATGTCCTCTCTTTAGACTAGCGACTACTACGTAAATAGAACTTTCAGGATCTGATAAAAGTAACGGGCTTTCCTTTCTCCCCAATTCTCAAAATACTAAAAAAAAATCTAAAAAGCACATACACACATAAAAATTCACATACTTTTTAAGGAGTTTAATGTTAAAAACTTTGCACTGGAATACAAGTAAAAAACAGAAGTAGTATACCTTATGTTTGCAACCCCTGAAATAAAAGCTGCCACACCAAGTCTCCACATTATTTAATGGAAAACATGCCAGCATACCTATTATTTTACATGTATGTATTTCTAAAAGATGTAACATCAATACACACTGGGATTTAGCATCTAGAACTGTGTGCCTGTAAACAGGACACGATAAAACCGTTGTAACGAGTTCAACTCTACAACAACATCTCCAACTTTAGCTCCTTGAAATGAAATCAGCCTAGGCATGGTGATACAAAGTTGTAATCCTGGCCAGAGAGATAGACTGGTGGTCTAAGGGCCTGGCTGCCAAGCACAAGGACCTGAGTTCAATCCCCAGTAACACATGCCATGCCAGCTCCACATGGAGCCAGTCATCAAAACCAGGCATGGTGACACACACTTGTAATCCCAGTGCTGGGGAGGCTGACAGGAGGATCACTATGAGTCTGAGCTACGTAGCAAGACCCTGTACCAAATAAATAAACAAACAAAAAATATATATCACAAATTTGTAATCCCAACATTTAGGAGTCTGAGACAGGAAGATCTCTGCAAAGTCAAGGCCAGCCTAGACTACCTAGTGAGTTCAAGGCCAGTTTAACTACATAATGAGTGAGACACTCTCAAAAATCAAAAATAAATGAAACAAAACAGAACGAAAGGAAATGGGTCTTTCTGGGCTAACTATGCAAAGCAGCACTGAAGTTACTGAGTTACTGGATGATGTCTCACCATCTATCCAAGCTCATCAACTGACTATCCCACCTTTCACAACAGGCTGGCCTGAGGCTAGTCCCATCATACCTTCTATTATCTGTTTACCTGAGTGACAGTCTCAAATCAAAGACTCCTCTCTTATCCATTATTACTGCTATGTACTTCTCATGGCTGGACACTGTCTCAGTTACTCTTCTCTCATTGCTGGGACAAAATACCCAACACCCAAAATTAAGGAAGGAAAGGTATTTGGCTCACAGTTAAGTGGAGGTTTCAGTCCATACTTAGCTAGCTCCAAGGCAGAGTGGCACAGGGAAGAGGGCAACCATTCATGGCAAAGAGCAAAGGGAGGAGCAGCTGCTGCAGCAGTTAGCAAGCCTCTCTCTCCTCCTTACATTTATATGAGATTATCTGACCCAATGTGTGTGCAGCACTCACACCCAGAATACCAGTATTGGATCGTGAATTATTCACAAACGCTAGCAGCCAGCCCATGACTGCATGAGGCTTTGGGGGGACAACCAGACAAAAACCGTAACAGACCCAAACCCGTACCTCCTGTTTGCATCTTCTCACCTATAGTTCTGCGGCAATTCCCCAATGATACTGTTCCTTCTCAACAGCTTTTAAAATTACTTTTAAATCTCTTGCACTCCTTGGACCTCAAAAGCTCCTCAGTCCAGCTACCAAACCACATCTTTTTTGCCTTTTAAATATTCCAGCCCTAATAAAATTTATGCCACTCTGCTAGTTCATTAATAGCCTTCCAAATGTTCTTCTCAGTGCTGGTATTTATTAATCTGACCCAATTCACTAAGAATTTCAGCTCCTGAGTTGGTCTTTCTTCCAGGAGCTTCAATACTGAGCTCTCAATGCCTTGACTTTCTTAACTGCAGTAATCCTAATTTCACTTCAGCCACCCACTGCTAGTTTTACCCTACCTAATCATAACCACTGCCTACGTTACTTTCAAAATTTCTCCACCATCTTACTCTCACTACGTCTTTTTTTTTTTTCTTTTTTTTATTAGAGAGAGAGAGAGAGAGAGAGAGAGAGACAGAGAGAGAGACAGAGAGAGTGGTGTGTGTGTGTGTGGCAGGCTCAGCCCACCAGGGGGCGGGCTGGCTGGCATGTGGTGCTGGGGGATTGAACCGTGGTCCCTGTGCTTCGCTGAACTTGTTCTAAGTAGGTGCTTTAGACCACTGAGCCATCTCTCCAGCCCCACTACGTCTTACCTACTAAAGGATTCCCACTGCAAAAATCCTTTGGTATCACTGCTATTTTTTATCTACTGACCCCCTTCTCCACTGTCCATAACTTACCCTTCTCATCTCTACTCAAATTCTCACCCCTCCAAGTGTGATCCATCATTATTTTTTTTTTCCATCATATATTTTGTAAACATTCTGAAATCCCTACTTCTCTAGTCCTTTGTAGCCACCTGGAAAAATCTCAACCCTAATTGATCCCAGTCATTTACTTCGGCTACTCCAGCAGTTGTCAGGCAAGGAGAAAACCCCACACAAAACAGTGCTACTTACTCGTTAAATTCACAGCCCAAATTCTCAGAGCTTTTACTCCTGTCAATCCTACTTTTCTTTGTAGGCCAACTTTCCACCCCAATATACTATTACGCACCATTTGTCTACTCAGCCATCATCCCATTCTCCCCTCCCTACTTTCTGTTGATAAAGTCACTTCATTCTTCCATCAGAAAACAAAATCAGACAGCAGCTCAGTTTCCAGATGGACATCACTTAATCAATCTGCATGTGCACTGCCCAGTCTCCTATTCTGTGTAATAAACAGCCCTGTTCCCATCCGAGGCCAGGCCAACTCCTCTGAGTTCTTGCTATCACCCTTACTTACCCTCGAGGGTATGACTTCTTCAGCCATTCCTTCTCCCTTTGTCACTGATGGACTACTTCTCTGAGCACACACTCTAGAATTTGCCAACCTGTAAGAACCCCATGACCCTAAAGCTACTGCAGTATTTTTGTTTCTCTTCCAAGCAAAATTTCTGACATATCTGCTCCCAAGTGCTCCCACAGCTGCATTCTGATCGCCTTCCTATTTCACACTATCACAGTGAGCTGCCAGGGAAATGTGTACTGGCTGAGGTACCCAGAGGTCTACCAGTGAACCTTACGACCCACTTGATTTCTCTAATCCTCTTCTATTTTCAGGCGCCAAAGTGTCTCCCTAGCTTGTGTATTTTCCCTGCCTCCCACTTACTTTACCATGAGCTTCGACCATCCTGATGTCCTTTTCTACTCCACAACATCTTTTTTTTTTTTTTTTTTGTGATGGGCGGGGGAAGTACTACGGATTGAACACAGGGTCCTCTCACTGAACTATATCCCAGCCCTTTTCTTCTTTAATTTTGGGATAGGGTTTCACTAAATTGCCTCGCAGGACTTCAACTTGTGATATTCCTACCTAAGCCTCCCAAAGTACAGGAGTACAGGGGTTACCCAAGCCATTTTGCAAAAACTTTATTCTATTTCCTTACAAATACTTGAGCTCTATGTAACTGCTATTAATTTACTTGCTTTGTCCGATTCCTTTGGCCTGCCTGACCCCCACTGTAGGAAGTGGACTTTCGGATTTTTGGGATTATTATTATAAGGCCAGTGATAGTCCAAAGTCTCCAGACTACCTAACACATGGGGTGGTCAATACACATTTAAGGGAATGAATGAGGCACAGCTAGCAGTAAATGAACTTAATAAGCTGTGCATGGTGGCACAAGCCTGAAATCCTAGCACACATGAGGCTGAGGCAAGATTCCCAGTTGGAGACCAGCCCAGCCCAAGTTTCTTTCCACACCAGCTAGACTATAGAAAAAGACAAGTGGAGAGAGAAAGGGGGGGAGGGGAGAGGGGAGAGGGGAGGGGAGGGGGAGAGAGAAAAGAGAAGAAAAAACAACTTAATGCTCTTAACACACCATTAACAGCTACCTACTTGGATTTCCCCTTCTTTGGGACAGCTTTCGAGTACAGAATTAGGCTTGATCCACGTGCCACATTAGCACAAGCCCTGCAGAGTAGCTGTTCAATAAATACCTATTGGTAAATTAAAATCTGAAATACAGTGACACAGACTATTCCCATTTGAGGTATAAGAACTACAAAGTCAATATTCTTCCTTTCATGAAAAATGCTTATAAATACAATTTGGAAAGGAGCTAAAAATTTCTCCATGCCAGAAAGATTCCTCTGCCACAATAATGGCCTAAAAGAAACTTTTCTTTTTGCTCAACTCTTATTTTACTTTCCTTTTTTCCATTTAACTGTGAAGGTAAGATACAAAATATCTTGGCAGATTATTATGGAATAAATTTATGTTAAAACCTTTTTAAACTGGGAATGGTAATATACTCCTATAATCTCAGAACTTTTTAGGAAAATGAGACAGGAGGATTATAAATTCAAGCTTAGTTTGGGCAACGTTGTGACCATCTTAAAATAAGAAAAAGGCTGGGGACTGTAGCTCCACCAAAGGGCCTGGGTTCAAGGCTCAGTATCACCACACAGCCCCACCTAAATACATTTTTAAAAGTTAAATATTTATCAGACATTCATTACTTACTGAAATCCCAGTTGCAAACGTGATGAAACACCCCAAGTTCAGAAGAGTTCTATACAAATCTAAAAAGAAGAGACTCCTATGACTACAGTGTAATGGTTTTCTTCATTTATAATTGTTTTAATTTGTACGTTTTCCTGCGTAACAGCATAATATAACATAATTCATTTTTAAAAAAGGAACATCACTCTTTAGGAAATTTAGGTTCATATAAAACAGGGATAATGTAAGAAAAGACAGGAAGACCCAATACTATTATGGACTACTGGACTCTTTTAGAATATTTTGCTGAGTTAACACACCTATAATATTCAAATAACGGAACTCAACAAAAAAAGGGGATACAGACGAATGTCCATTTTGTATCTGTGTATTCAAAATGGTTAGGATAGATATATA